GTTTGATCCCAGGACCCCGAGATCATGACCTGAGCCAAAGGCCACCCAGGCGCCCCAAGTGGGGGAGGCCTTCTTTAAATAAAGGAATACAAAGCTAGTTACGAAAGTGAACACCTACTTTAGAATGAGAATGAGAAAATAAATCACAGTGGATTCAAATTTTAAGAATTGACAGATACCACAGACAGAAAAATAGTGTTTTTATTAATTAGCTGCTTTGCATAACTCATAGGGGCTTTTTTGTTTATTTTTGTTTTGTGCCTTTGATTGCCTCTACTATATGACAATGAGTTCGTAATGTTTTCTACAGAGGGAAAAGGAAATTAGTTCTTCTTGTAACGTATTTGATCAGATTTAGTCAAACTTGATCAAGATTAGAAAATCTTCTGGCCTCACATTTAGTTTTTGGTAAAGCTGTGTACATTTTTAGGATTGTTGCTAAATTTGAGAACACCATCCTCAAGTTTCTTCCACAAACAAGCTGCAAGATTTGGGGGTATTTCGAGTTCTCTTGCATGCTGATTATTCGTAAGTACTCTGACAGCATAGGGAATTCCTAGAAGCCGTTCCTACCCCAGGATGGCTAGCAATTGTTTGGCTGTGCACCGAAGTGAGTGGGAATCCTATGAATATATCCCAGGAAACCCGCATTAAATGTCACCTGGACTCAGCATCCCCTTACCTAAGTCCTAAATTCTAGCCTCATGTCACCAACATGACAGGAAGTGTGACAAGGGAAGTCAGAGTAGGAAGAAACAGCAGAAGGGAAGTCAAAGTAGAAAAAAACAGCAGTAGTAAGTGCTTGCAATTAAAATATCCTCCTTTGGCAAATGTTACAAAAACATATGACTACATGAACACATTGCGAGGGCCCCTTCTGGGCCTTGAAGCTCCAGTTTCATCAGCTCCACGGCAGTCCTGCCTCCACGCATCAGCCCTTCATTCCCACTGTGTCGCCTCTGGGTCGTGAGGCGACCGATGCAGCTCCTGGCACAGATCCATGAGAAAGTCAAGAAGAGAGCCAAATGGGCAGACCGACCACATCTGCCCCCCTCAGTGCTTGTCCCCAAAGCTGCAGCTGGCCACTCCACTCCATTCTTACTGGTCAGAACTGGGTCACAGGACCCCCAGCTGCAAGGAAGTCTGGGAAAGGGACTATTTTTAAGTAGAAACATTTCTTGGGGGCGCCTGGGTGGCTCAGTTGGTTAAGCGTCTGCCTTCAGGTCATGATCTCAGGGTCCTGGGATCGAGCCCTGCGTCGGGCTCCCTGCTCAGTGGGGAGCCTGCTTCTCCCTCTCCCTGCCTCTCCCCTTGCTGTGCTCTCTCACTCTCTCTCAAATTAAGTAGAAACATTTCTTTGCCAACAAAATCAGAGTACTGTTAGTCAAGAGAGAATGAATATTGGGTGGGCAGCAAACAGTGTCTGCTCCAGCTCCCATATTATTTTCTATGTGGGTGGATGGGTGGGTGGATGGATGGATGGATGGGTGAATGGATGAGTGGGTGGATGGGTGGGTGGATTGATAGATGATAGAGAGATAGAGTACCTATATTTTCTTATAAAAATTCATACTGTTTTATTAGCATGTCACAATTTCTTTCTGTGATTCACCAATCCTTGAAAACTAGTCAATGGGAAATAACATTTTTTACCTAAATTGACATGTTTCGAACATCTTTTACTACTGAAAAAATTACATTCTGCTCAATCATGTGCTCCATTTTTTTTAGTAGCACAACGTTTTCTCAAACAAAACCCCCCATCTGTCACACAGATGAAGGCTGAGTCCCTCTGAACAAGTAAGGTGGCTGCCAGGAACCCATTCTCTTCTCTCTCCCAGTAGCCCCTGAGGCATTTCTGCGGAACTCGGTACAGTCAGCAGGTTGTTGGACTAGATTTCCTTTCAGATCTTTCCAGCCCCAAAAGGCTGCTTTGAAACTGAAGGTCCTGGAGACCTCGTGGGCTACCACGTGGCTCACCCTGAAGGCACAGCAGGTCATAAGGTGAGCAGGGGGCAGGCCCTCTGGGAGGTGGCTGCTTTGAGACGCTGGGTGTGCCCCGCACGGATCTGGGTCCTGCGTGCTTACCCCTCTTCACCAAGGACCTTTCCTCAGGCCTCTGGGTAACAGACCAGACACTGACCCACCGGCTAGACTCGGTTTCTTCATCCCCTGGAGAGCACAAATACCACCCACCTTATTTCCTAGGCCTATAAGGTTGTTTTTTTTTTAAAAGATTGTATTTATTTATTTATTTGACAGAGAGAGACACAGCGAGAGAGGGAACACAAGCAGGGGGAGTGGGGGAGGGAGAAGCAGGCTTCCTGCTGAGCAGGGAGCCCGATGCGGGGCTCGATCCCAGGACCCTGGGACCATGACCTGAGCCGAAGGCAGACACTTAACGACTGAGCCACCCAGGGGCCCCTAGGCCTATAGGGTTTTAAGAAGATGGTATGACGGGGGCGCCCGGCTGGCTCAGTCGTAGAGCACGTGAATCTTGATCTCCGGTTGTGAGTTCAAGCCCCATATTGGTTCTATAGATCACTTAAAATCTTAAAAAAAAAAAAAAAGAAAAAGAAAATGGTATGGCTGACAGGGTTTTCCAAAGGCTGAAACACTCTCACATGTAAGTGTCCCCTAGGAGGGAGTTGGGAGGGCGAGCTCAGAAGGAGCACGGCGTGGAGGACAAGGAAGCAAGAAGGCACGTACTCACCGTGTCCCCTGGTCCAGTACCTTAAGACCCCACCTTCTGAGCCTTCTTTGGAAAGACCCGGGTGGCATAACGGAGGGAGAAAGAGAAGCAGGGGTGTTCTGGAGGTGCGTTTGAGGGTTGGACATAAGGCACCTGCTCACCTGATGAGTAGCTCGGCCTGTAAATTTGAGCCTCGATATTGGACAGGGCAGCGTGGCCGACGGGGAGTTTGAGTGAGGGGGGCCAGCAGTGTGACGGGCTTGCAGTTAAAGCATCCTTCCTCTGCGGGTCACACAAGAGACATAAGGGGAGGTGGGACTGCATTTTAGTTCTTCTGTAGAAGGCTGATCATGTGCCGTCTCCTCCCCGGAGGCTGAAGGCACCTTCTCTGTCCTCTGGCCCTGCTCCCCTTCCCACTGCCTCCCCTCTGCACCCCCACCCCATCCATCCCCCTAACTGGCAGCCGGCCCCACAGCGCGGGGAGGCCCCTTTTTTCTTTTCCCTACCTCAAACACGAGATCAACCCAAATAAGCTCTCAGCAAAAATCAAGGAATCAAAGATGTAATTCCAGTTGTTGTGTTTTTTTTAATTTCTGGCTTGTTTTTGTTGTTGTATAAGCCAATTTTTTTTTAAATTTTCATTTTCAAATAATTCTAGATTCACAGGAATTTGAAAAGGGAGTGTCGAGAGGTCCCGTGCCCCCTCCCCCGGTTTCCTGGGTGGTCCCTCTTGTATGACTGGGGCGCCACCTCGGACGGGCAGCCCACACCGGTGCCGTGCAGACTCTGGTTCCATTTCCCCGGTTGTACAGTCATTTCTTCTGTAAACCATTTGTCTTAATTGTGAACATAATCTAACCGTATTACAGAACACTTGGAAAATAAAGGGGAGAAAAAATTCCCCTTGGTTCTGCTGTCCTGCTTCCCACTGGATGCATTTTAGTGTTCGTTTCCTTCCGGTCTTGTGTGTGCTTTTAGCCTAATTGAAAGCATCATTTATATACAGTATTATAACCTTTTATTAAATGTTTTAAATAAGCATTTTTTCATAACCTAGTCTTTATCATTGTAAATGGCCACTTAATATTTCAAATGAATATGCCATATTTCACTTATTTATTCCTCTCTTGCCAGACACTTCGGTTATTCCGGTTTTACTCTATGACAGTTTTGTAACAAACAACTTTGTTTATTTAACATTTTCCGTATTGGGGGTTCTTTCCCTAGGATTTACACCCAAGGTGGGCACCTGGGTGGCTCAGTTGGTTAAGCGACTGCCTTCGGCTCAGGTCATGATCCCAGGGTCCTGGGATCGAGTCCCACATCGGGCTCCCGGCTCAGCAGGGAGCCTGCTTCTCCCTCTGATTTACACCCAAGGATGTGAACATTTTTATGACTCTCCTGTTATAAAACACCAGATTACTTCCTAAAGTAATTAGAAATGACTCAGCCTGCTGGGCCACTAACATTTTTGAATCCTGCCAGCCAGTTACATGGTCATATAATCATTGAAAGATGACACCTTTTTTATGAAGTTGTAGTTTCTAATTACTTGTAAAGTTGATCATTTTTTTCTTGTATTTACCAGTGATCTTTTCTATTGTGTGACTTAGCTATTTGAATTCTTTGCTCCGTCTTCTACTCTCTTACTTATTGATTTGTTTTGTTTTGTTTTAAAGATTTTATTTATTTATTTGACAGAGAGAGAGATACCGAGAGAGGGAACACAAGCAGGGGGAGTGGGAGAGGGAGAAGCAGGCTTCCCGCGGAGGAGGGAGCCCGATGCGGGGCTCGATCCCAGGACCCTGGGATCATGACCTGAGCGGAAGGCAGACGCTTAACAACTGAGCCACCCAGGCGCCCCTTACTTACTGATTTGTAAGAGCTGCTTATCTAATGAAAATCTTAACCTTCCATTCTGTTAAATATGTGCAAATATTTCTTCCCAGTTGGTTGTTTACCTGTTCATTTGGCTTATCTCTAATATATAAGTGGAAAATTTTTATGAAACCAAATCTGCCCATCTTTTTTTTCTTCTCACTTTCAAAACTCAGTCTTCCCTGAGATGTAATTATTTATACAAACTGTTTTCTTCTCCTCTTTTCCATGGTCTGATTTTTTTTTTTTTAATTTATACTGCTAAATGGTATAATATGCAAACCTAAACGAGTTTTTTCCCCAATTTCTGTTTATCTGAATAATCTGTGTCATGATCCTTCGTCATCAATTTGCAAAGCCTCTTGTTACTATGAGGTCAGCTCTCAAGTAGGTGGTGTCTCCAGCCCTGTCTCCTCTTTCCTTCCACCAGATTATGACGAACACGGGGAAGGCGAGGCGGAAGGGCCTGGCCAGTGTGCAGCAGAGTGCCGATGAGCCCCTGCGCCGGCCCATCACCCCCGGCGGCCACAGGACCGGGTACCCAGTGTAAGTCCGGGCTAACGGAGGCGGGGAGTTCTTTTCTTAAGCTTTGTTTTAACTGCAGTGTAAGATGTGTGTATTGAAAAACTCAAAATAAAACATTCACATTGGAAAGCATTTATCTCTTCATTGTTTCTCTCTCGGGGATTTTTGAGGGGAAAGAGGTTGTCTCCTTCACCCCCGGCTTTCTTCTTCCAAAAAATGAAGTGGTTGGATTTCAGGATCTCCAGGCACTTCCAGCCTTCGCCCAGAAGAAGCCAAGTGTCGGCCAATGTAATTTCAAAGGCAAGGACCAGAAGGAGCAGTGGTGGGTCCACCCAACAGGCCTCGGGTTGCTTTTGTTCTGCACCCCTCCCCCACCATCTCACTGGGCCTTCTGTTGGGGTGGAGTGTCACAGGTTAAGACATCAAATCCACTTATCTTTAGATAAACACACTCACTTTTTAAAGCAACTCTATGCACGTTTAGCGGCCTAGCTTTCTTCATAACCTTGCTCCTACCTCGTTGATGTGAACACAATTTTAGAGTGGTTACCCAGAACCTGGGACCAACCTGGGGACCTGGGGGCCTAGACCCCTGTGGGCTCTCGGGGAGCCCCAGGCCAGTCAGTCCAACTGTCTAGAGAGAATGGCAGAGAGAAACAGGTACGAGCGAGGGGGTTATAGAGAGCAGGAGAAAAACCTACAAATATTGGCCATAAAATAGTTCAAATGAATAGGCCATATTTTACTTAGTTATCCCCCATAGCTGGGCAGTTTGGTTGTTTCCAGTTTTACTCTATAGTAATTTGTAATGAACAGCCAGGCACCTGCCGAACAGCCACAAACAGAGCACGGAAATGCCAGCCCTGGAGCTCCGTGTGTGGCTGCCGGGGATGCCGAGGCCCCTGCACCCAGATCTGCCAAGTGCTCTTCCCACGTGGGACCTGACCTGTAAGTATTTCCAGGCCCATATCGTGGACTGGTGCTCTGTTTGATTTGATTTCAAAACTGGTCGTCTCGTGCTTCATATTTCAAGGTTCTTATTTTAAACTGCTAATAATGTATCTTTCTCTTAAACTTACTGTCAGTATTTTTTAACTTAGCTTCCAGTTACGAACATTTGGCACCTTTGCATCTTCTCTCAGTCTCCTTCTCCGTGCATAATATGTAATTTACACACATATACTTTGTTTTGCTGAACAGTTTGAAAGGAGGTTGCAGACTTGCAGCATGCATCCCCCAAGAGTAAGAACATCTTGTACTTAACCACAAGTACAAGAAAGTCACACCTAAGAAAGTCAACATTCACGTAACACTCTGTAGTATATCGGTATTCCCTAACTGTCCCCAAAATGTCATTTGTATCAGGTTTTGTGTTTGCTTGTTTGATCTGGAATATAGCCAAGTGTCAACTACTAGTAAATCTAGTTTATATCTTTTTAAATGGAAGTGGTAACAGGAGCTGATAAAATTCATCTTACTTAACATGGGATAGAGGATGCCAAATCATCATCTTTAAAAATTAAGATTATCTTTTAAAGTTCTTGAAACCCAGAGAGGCAACAATGACATGAGGATATTTAGTTAGAAATAAGGATAAAGAGAGTCTAGGGCGCCTGGGTGGCTCAGATGGTTAAGCGTCTGCCTTCGGCTCAGGTCGTGGTCCCGGAGTCCTGGGATCGAGTCCCACATCGGGCTCCCGGCTCGGTGGGGAGCCTGCTTCTCCCTCTGACCCTCTCCCCTCTCATGCTGTTTCTCTCTCGCTCGCTCTCTAAAAAAATAAAATCTTTAAAAAAAAAAAGGATAAAGAGAGTCTAATAAATATAAGATCTAACCAATGGGCACCGTTAATTCTGGGGTCGGGTGTTCTACCTTGTGGAGAGGAAGAAGAGGATGTCTTTCCATGCCAGGGATGTCCCCTGACTTGTGGGACGGAGAGGACCTCATTTTCCTGGAACTGGACCCCCCCACTCTAGTGCAATTGCCCAGCTCCCTCCATTGGGCCAGTTCTACAGACGTTTGTATCACTTCTGAGCACCAGATGGTGTGCTAATTTCTAGCGAAACAAGAATAAATGAGATGTGATTTCTGGCCCCAGAAGCACACAAAGCCATGGTCAATGTCCTGTGGTCAGTGGAGGGTGGCGGATGCCGGGTGCCCCCTGCGCTCGGCAGAAAGTCAACTTGCAGGATCTTGAGTTAGCCCCTGTAAAAAGTGTCTGTGACCCCGCAAAGCCAGCTGGCTCTGATCCCCTAGTGCTCCAGGAATGTCAACTGGGGACCTCCGTGATCTTGGAGACGCTGGCAGTACATTCCAGGTACTAGTACTTCTGGGGTCAGTAATCCCACCTCTAGGGTTTGGTGCTGAGAAGCAATCAGATGCTCACAGATATATATACAGGGCATTTACGGCAGTAGTCATAAGAAGTCTAAATGGGGCACCTGGGTGGCTCAAGAGGGGAAGCCATTCGGCCCAGGTCATGATCTCAGGGTCGTGAGACCGAGCCCCGTGTCGGGCTCTGCGCTGGGTGTGGAACCAGCTTAAGATTCTCTCTCTCCCTCTCTAAAAAAACGAAGAAAAACTTATTCGTTAAAAAAAAAAAAGTAGAATCAAAATGCCCAAAGTAGGAGGCTGTTTACATAATTATATAGTCACACAACACAGTATTGAAAATGATGTTTTAGAAGAATACTTAATACATGAGGAGAGCCTCACAATATAATTGCTAAGTGAAAAAGCAAATTATAAAACAGGGTAGATCCAGCCTGCTGGCCACTTATAGTGATCCCAAGTTTATTTTTTTTAAGTATATATTTGCATTTTTTAAAAGTGAAAAGATACCAGATGTTAATCAGGGTCGTGTCTAGGTATTGCGAGGGCAGGACATTCTGTGTAGCCCATATATTTTCCTAATTTTTCATGATCAACGCTTACTGGTTTTTTAATCAAGAAAAGAAAGTTTAAAATAAAAAGTCACCCTGCGCAGCTCAGGGCCCTCCCTCACCCCAGCCCTCCCTTGGCCTATTTCCTCCGCAACCCGCCCCCCACCCGCCCCGCCTCACCGCTCCGTGGGTTCTGGGTCTCTCCCCTCTGCTCACTGTCCAAACTTGGCGCCATCATTTAACACCTCGTTGCTCCACCTTCACCCTCCCTTCCTACTGCTTTCCTTCCCCAGGCCTCCCCACAGGCCCCCAGGCCCCCAGCCCCCCTCGCCCGGGCCCTCTCTGCCTGCTTCCACGCCCCCTGCCCTCCCTTCTCGGCCCACGCGGCCCACCAGTGACCTCGCAGCTTCTTCTTCTTTTTTTTAAATGAAAATTCAATTAGCCAACATCTAGAATATCTTTCGTTTCAGCTGTAGAGTTCAGTAATTCATCAGTTGCAGCTTCCAAGCCGAGGCCGCACAGCGTCCCTCACGGTCGCCACTGCCGACCACCCTCCTGGTCACTGTCCCACCCCCACACCCTGCTGCCACGTGGGCTTGGCCCCTAACTCACCCCTCTGCCTCCTAAAATGCCTCATTTCTGGCCCCTACCAGCATCCTGCTTCTCCGCGGGTTTCCTTACACACTCCAGGCACCCAAATCTCACTCCTTTCCAGACTTGCCCCAAGCGCGAGGGGTGTCCCCCCAGCACCCCAAGTCAGCGCTTCCTTCTTCTGAGCCCCCCGCTTCAGGGAATGGCGCTAATACCCCCAAACCCCCGAGCCAGAATCCCGCCCCCTGGCCGCCGAGCCCTCTCCTCCCTCTGCTCTCCCAGCCCTGGCCTCCCCTCTGCCCTCCTGAGCCACCTCTTCGCCCCTAATGGTGCCCCCGCCATGGTCTACCGTCCGCCACCCTAGAATGAGATTTCTAGCACATCATCACGGAAGGGCATTCCTGTCTCCCTGAGGGATCAAATCTAACCAAACGCTGGCTGACAAGGTCCTTCGCAGTTGACCGCCCCCCCCACCTTGGGCCTCGAAGTGCCCCCGGCCCCGGACACCCTGTCCCCTCTAGCCCGCAGTTTCTGTGGTGCCTTAAATCTTTCTGCAACAGTGCGGCACTTTTGTTTGTTTCCGCCTCGGCATCTGCCTCGCGGTGTTACCTCTGTTGGAAAATTTTCCCTCTTTTGGCCCCAGGCAGCCCTAGCTGGACTGGCTGAATGCCCCCCCCACACACAGACACACACACACATGCACACGCACAGACACGCACACACACACACACAGCCTTTCCTGCCCCTCGGGGTGGCTTGGCGTCTGTTTGTCTTTGCTACTGGAGCTGACATTCAAGAACGGCCATCTCAGGGGGCCCAACCCTGGGCGGAGCGCCACATGCTCGCTGCGCTGTGTCTCCCACCAAGCCCTCGCTGGGCAGGTGGCGAGTGTCTCCTTGTTGAAGAGAAGCCAGTGTTGGGCTGCCGGGCCCACCTGGAGAGCCTTCCTCGGGATCTGCTGTCAAGGCTGAACGAGGAGCCGACCTCCCTCCCGCCACCTCTCAGGGCCTTGCTGGCCCGGGCCCCCTGTCTCTGGCGCCCGGCTGCCGGGGCGGGGGGGGGGGGGGGGGGGGGGCGGTCCGGTACAATGAGGCGCCCAGTCCGTGTCTGCCGGGTGAACGGGTCTCCACCGACCCGGGTGCTGGCGGCCGTGCAGACACCATGGGGGTGGTGATGCAGAGAGCGAGCTCCTCCCGGGCCCGGGCCTGCCGAGCTCTTGCTGTCACGGCTGACAGGACACGTCACGTCTTTCTGATTGCATTCGTCCCTTCGGCTCATCTGCTTCCTCCTCTGCGGAAAAACCAGAAGATTGGTATCTTAAATGGTTTGGTTGAGATGTCATGTTCCCATGTCCCCCAAAGCCAGAAGATACCATTTTTGTGTTAGAAAGATAGGAAGCCATGTATCACTGTGAATGTTGAGGAGCTACCAGGGTATTTTCTAGTTTCCGCCAATATCCTTAAAAAGGTTTAATGTCTGCTGATACCAGTTTAATAAAGGAATTTCAGGTACTTCCACTTCTTGTATCTGTTTGTGATGCTACGCGGCTGGTAGTCGGCAAATACCTCCTGGCTCTCTGCGTTTATTGCTGTTTTTCATTTTTTCTTCCAGGCTGGAAGGCTATCCCATTTCTCCCCAGATGGCCCAGCCTGCCCGAAACGGCAGCCTGCCGTCCCTGACAAGCGCCCACCCTCCCGTCTACGAGGGGGCTGAGCCCAGTGCTTTGGAGCCTTGCATCTCCTCTTCACGTAAGAACCGTAAGAACCGTGGGCGGGGGGCGGGGGGGGCGGGGAGTCAGCTCGGGGGGCTGGTGATGCCTGGACCCGAAGTAAGCAGCAGCAGTTAGAGACCCAGAAAGGCCTCAGCCTCACACCTGATCTCCCCCACTGCCCTGAGCCACGGAGGCCCACAGGCCCAGAACCACACAGCCACGCCTCTAAACCCCCTTCTCTGAGAGACATCCACACGCTAGTCGGGCAAGATTTCGGCTCACAAAAAGCTGTGTGTTTACTGTGCGATTTCCAAGTAGTCATCTCAGAATGTTGGAGATTTCTGCCCGAGACTTTGGCACCTCAAACTCTGATGCTGAGGTGGCGGCCGGCTACCTATTCAAGGGCTGGTCAGAGACAGAACTGTGCCAGGAGAAGCCAGAACATTTTGAAACATCTATTCGAGTTCACCAGAGACTGATGGGGGATAAAAGGATTTTTTTAGATGCCAGAAAAAATAGATATGCTTTGAATCAGAAACGTACAAAGTATTTTTTTTTTTTAATTCGCAAGAGGAAATTAAAAGGATATGAGCAGGCCAGATAAGACCGTAATCTCCATGCAAAGAGGAAAAACAACAGAGGAGCAGGTCAGATTCCAGGTTGAGAAACATCTGAGAACTTTTATAATCTGCTCACAATTGGATTCCAACGCTTCCAAGCCCCAGTTCAAAGCAGGAGGCTGGTCACAGAGCCAGAGTAGAGCCAGGTTGTTTGAGAGTCTGGGGGATTGTCTCCTGGTTATGCACACTTTTAGAGGTTTTGCCACCTGGGGTCATGTGTTCTTAGAGCTATAAACCTTAATATGCCTTCACTGAAAGGTGATTTGCTCCACCATTTGTCCAGAGATTTCTGCTGCCAGGGTGGAGGTTTTAGTGGTCTAACCACCTTTGCCAATTTAACCTAATGCCATTGAGTTAAAAATGATTTCAAGCTCTATAGGCCTGGACTTCCCAAAAGTTGCATTTAGGGTAATTTATTTATCAGGTACATCCTTGCTTTACCAAAGCAACCACCAGGGTGGTCCTCTGTCTTGCACCAATTCTCAGTATGGTCCTATATTTTGGAAAGATTTAGCATGGATTACCTATAGGACGGAGGCATTTGAGGTTGCCACAGATGGAGTAGCGTGTGGCAACTGATTTTCCTGGAGATGGTGATGTCCTTGTGATTTTCAGAAACAATCGATGGTAGCCCTGACAAAGTCGAGGCCCTGGCCAATCCTGGTTCCTCACGTGAAAACAGTGGGCAGCCTTGGTGATCAGCAGCAGGCCCCAGTGCCTCTCCCTGGGGAGGTGGCAGCCCTCCACATGGGCCACCTGGAGCCAGGGCAGCCACTTGGCCTGAGTCACGCTGCCAGGTGTAGCCCTGAACTCTGAGGCCATATTCCACATGTCCCCTCCTCCTGCCTGCTCCTCTCTGCTTAGGCCTGCCTGGGACCCCCCCAACCCTGTCCATCAACTCCCCACCCCCCCCCACCTCAGTGGGCTCCAAACTAGCTGCCCTCAGTCTACCAGCCAGAAACCAGCCATATTAACCTCTCTCCCCAGGCCTGCCCGGCCTGTCCTCAGACTCAGGACAGCACTCCTCATTCTCCCTTATAATCATTTTACTACAGAAGCCCACCCTCTGGGTTAGTGGCTCTCCCTCGGTCACTTAGGGAGCATTTCTGGTACCGATTCTGTTCTTCCTCCTACCCTCTTTCAGGCTTGGCCAGCTGCAGCCACCCCAGAACCGATGTCCCTGGACCAGTGTCTGCCCCCACCCCGACCCAGCTGGTCTTGTTGCGGCCATCCCTCCCTCTTCTGATCCAGCCTCTATGTGAGGATGGAGAGCAAGCAGGCTTGGGCTTATGTGCTTAGAATGCACATAATCAGGGTTGAGACTAGTTCTGAGGCTGCCTCTGGGCTCAGCAGATATAAGAGGGCCCGAGAGGAAGAGGACAGTGGTGGGCCAGGTGGTCTCGTTGTCTTCTGTGATATTCCTTCCCTGTCAAAAGCCTGAGCTGACCTCCTCTGGACCCTTCCATCCATACAGTCCTGCCTCTCCAGCCCTTTCTCCCACTTCTGTGCTCTCGCTCACCTGTCCCCCCATCCCAGTCTGGCCTCACGCAGCTACTCCTCAGAGGCCCCTCACGTGTGACTTGCTACTGAGTCTGGCCTCCCGGCCTGCACTCATGCTGGGAACCTCTGCCCCACCTCAGGCCCACTGAGAACCCGCCGCGGTGGCCTCAAGCGCATTTGCTCAGGAAGCTCTTCACATCTCTGCGTTCAGTCAACGCTAAAGGTGAAATCTCGTGATGAGGAGCCTGTGGACCCCTCCAGCCGCTTGATCAGTTGACCACAGGGCCAGAAAGTACATTCTTTTTAAGCAGAGGGACTTAGCCCCACAGAGCCAAGGAAATAGCTCCCAAAAGGAAAAAGCCAAGAATGTGTCTTCAAATTTTCTAAGACATTGGCCTCAGGAAAGTTACTCTCATTACCCAATCACCCGAGTCTATCTTGGATATCAAAGCCGCATACTTTGTCAGTGGCCTGGAGTGAAAATGCCCAGCCCTGTCTGAAATGGACCCACAGGTGAGGAAACAGTACTTTGTCCCGGGAAGCCTCTGGTGCGTGCACACAGCTGCTGGTCCCCACCCGCCCCCCCGCCCCCCAGTCCCTGGCTTTCAGTGGTGGGAGCTCTGAAGGCCCGCACTGTGACATTCAGTGGAGGGAGTCGGAAGGGGCATTGGGGGTGATTACTATTGGGTGACAGAGCCGAAAAGACCTCAGAGGGTCTCAGGAGAGCGCAGCAAAACTCCTCCTCCCTCCTGCCAGGGGGCTTTCCCACCCACCCCCCAACCTGGCCCTCCGCCCACACCCACCTGGGAAAGCTCCTGATCCTGGAGGACTGCCTGCCCCTGGGCACCATTCCCTGGAATGGGATTTCCTCTGTGTGTAGCCCAGCACACAACTGTACGTAGTTGCCCTTGATTATTGCTTCATACACCGAAATGCTATCTCCTGGGCCTGATTAGAAGCCCACGGAGCTGAGAGCACAGACAAGCAGGCCAGTTGTCCACTGGAGAACAGGTCAGAGAAGGCTCCATTTCCGATTCCAGGCCCAGCTCTAGGTGGAGACGGTCCAGTATGGACCATAAATAAAGCCATCCGTTGGGTTCCATTCCAGAAACATTCCCTGCTTGGGTGAAAAGACCGTTACCTGGAAGTCAAAGCTGCAAAGAAGAAAGTTTGTATTTAAGATAAAGTAGAAGCCACATTGCAAAGATACCAGGGAGATTTTTAAACAAAAGAGCTAGAAGGAGCTTGGATTAAGGAAGCAGCGAATCTGGACTCGGTCACAGAATTGCTCTGACCGTGCCATGGACCCCTTTGGCAGCAGAAGGAGAAGAGAAGTGGGGCAGGAGAGAAGGGGGTCACGTTATTTGAAATCCAGACTAGGCGCTCAGGAGAGCTCCCCGGCAGAGTCATCGGGGACTTCTCTGTCACTTCCCAGTGAAGGTCTCTGGGATGACCCGGGTGCCCTGGTCCTTGGCCATGAGGTCAGCACAAGCACTGCTGGGAATGAGGGCAGCTGCTGCCCCTGGGGGTGGACTGAGGGATTCAGGCCTGAAGGAGCCTGGGAAAGAGAGCCCCACTTCCGGGGTGGCCGGATTTAGCAAATAAAAATACAGGGCACCCCAGGGGCGCCTGGGTGACTCAGTCGGTTAAGCATCCAACTCTTGATCTCAGCTCAGGTCTTGATCTTGGAGATGTAGTTTGAGAGGCAGAGGGGGGTCAGGGGAAGCAACAGGGCCGGACGTCTCCGGCCAGAGCACTCACGCTGCAGCCCCAGGTCGTAAGTCCCAAGTGGCCGCCTGGAAAGTTCTGGGGCTGCGCAAGTAAGCGAGTCCTCATCCATAAGCTCCAGGGAGCTATCGGGGGCTAGCCTGGGCATGTGCTTTTTTTTGGCTTCTTGGCCTAGCCCAGTAAGGAGCATCCTCAAAGGGGTTCCAGAGCCAGAGTTGACTGAACTCTCTCTCCTCCCCAGCCACCGCGGACATCAAGCCAGGAGAATGGTTGCCAGCAGGACATCAGGGAGAGGCTCGCCTGCCCTCCTCGGAGGTCCCCAACCAGGCCCCAGGCAGTGGAGAGACCACCAGGTAGGGATGGGGAGGTGTCCTGGGAGGGCTCATCCCTGGTCCAGCCTCTGACTTTGAGCGCAAAGGAGCATTTCACTGGGGCCTGAAGCAACCTACAGAGATACCCCGGAGGGAATGTGGCCACCACACCTGCTAACCTCGTAGCCCAAGGGGAGGCACCTGCCCCCTGGGAATTATCGGTTGTCAGACTGGAAGGAGAAGAAACTCATAAACATGCCCAAGGGACTCGTTTTAAGAACCGCAAGCTGAACTCGTTTGTGGGGACGTGTGATTCGGAGTCACCTGTGAGCAGTGTCCGATCTCAGCTATTTGCTTTTGGAGAAGGTGGGATGGAGGGGAGAGAGATGGCAAGCAGGATTAGTGAAAATATTTGGCTCAGGTGTCACCTTCCTAAAATAGAAACTGGATCCCAAACGGAAAAAAAGGTGTGTTCTCTTCCTCTGCACCAAGTGGGTACAGCGTGGCCTCTGAGAGGTCACTTGGGGTTCTTTAGAATCTAGAAAGTCTGGGTCTCCTTTCAGATCTGAGGCAGCCTGCTCAGGGAGAGGGGCCTAGCCCTGGTGCCAGGCCCAACCCAAAGGCGAGGCCGGCTGCCCCCGCCGCTTCCTCCTGGCCTAGCAGCATCCTGCAGCCGGACTAGTTGCAAGACGGCGAAGCCAACCTCCTGCACGAAACCACTGGGCCTGAGCCAGGTTTCACATGACTACACCCTCGGCGTCCCTGAATGCGAGGAGATTTGCCCTGGTGACCGGTCGGGCCTCCTGAGCCTCCACCTTTCTAAAGAATTGGGAGGTGTTTCCGCAAGTGTGTCTGCAGCGAGCAGGCCCACCAGCAGCTGGGCTGATGGTTGACCTTGGCCCCGTCAGGAGCTCTGTGAGCAGCAGGGCCTTGCAGAGCCGGATGAGACGGGGGGCGGAAGGGCTGCAATCCAGACCCCTGAGACCCGAAGCCTCCTCCACCTGCAGATGTTTCCCCCTCACAGTGTAGAGGGGTCACAGAAACCAGCCCACCGCCCTCCCCTTACTCAGGCCTGGCTGCCCTCCCTGCTGCCTCCCACGGATGGAAGCCACAGAAACAGCAGTTCCTGCTGAGTTCTGAAGGCGGCAGGGGCCCGGACAGGCGGAAGGCCTAGCAGAGCCGGCTCGCACGGGGCAGAGAGTCTGAGGAGGCGGGCAGGCGAGAGGGTGCTGCAGGCCGTGCCCCTCCCCCGGTGGGCAGCACCCCGGGGCCTTCCTTTCTAGGCAGAGATTGCGGGCGGGCACCAGGTGACAAGGAGGTCGGAGCTCCCAGGGGCAGCAGAGCTCTGTGGGCTGGAGCCAGAGGACTTTGGGGCCTGGACTTGGGGGGGGGTCCCCTGACCTGCTGGGGACCCAGGGCCTCACCTCCCCCACCGGCAGAATGGCTGAAGGTGTGCTCGGGGATTAGAAGTGCCCGAGGCCCACAGGCTGGTCCACAGGTCAGGGGTTCTCTGGCTCTTGGCACCCTCCTGAAGTGGGGGGCTCGAAACGAGAGACCTCAGAGGACTGGGCCGGAGCTGAGGCTGGGCCCCTGCCGCGCTTGCCCCCTGCGCCCAGGGCAGGACCCAGGTACAGTCCTGCGCCTCAGCCGGGCCAAACCTGCCCTCCCAGTGCTAGAACCATGTCTTTTTCCTTCCTGTAAAGGCAGAGTTCATGTCTGAGGCCCACCGCTGGAGACAGTTGTCTCTCCCCAGAATAATGTTTTTGCAGCAGGGGATCCCCAGAGGCTGTCCCGAGAAACATTCCCCCTGGGGACACCAAGTGGAGTGACCCAGTTGGCCCTCCGAGGTCCTGTTGGGCACAAATGCCCCCATGGGGCTCAGTCCATGGGTGCTCTCACCCTAATGTCTGTCATGTGAATTCAACTCTTATTTTAAGTCTGGGAGGAGTGGGGGTGGGTTCTGCCTGAGGACGAGGAGGATGGAAAGAGGGTGAAGTAGACAGTTGGTCCCCCCGCCTCACTACCGCCACCTGCCACACCTTCTCCCCACCCCCAGCCTCCTCTTCACCGGCTGCCCCAGGTCTCCGCTAAGCACCCCTTCCTCCTCCCTGACCCCAAAGTCCAGTCACACAGCCCCGCTGCCTCCCCAGTCCATGACTGTCCCCCGCTGTCCTGAAAGACAGGGGTTCCCAGCTGGTCCAGGGCAGGCTCTCAGAATCTCTGGGCGATGAATCGGGAGAAGGGAGAGAGAATGGCTCTCTATATGGCTTGAGTGGGGGACGTTTGTCCCTCTGCTTTCCCCAGCTCCTCTCTCTCTGTCCTTAGAGTGAGGACAGCCCCTTGCCACAGAAGACGAGCTGCTGAGTGGGTGCGGCTTGACTTCCCGTTTCCCATGGAAGGCCCTGGAGCTGCGGGTTTGGGGAAATGGTAGATTGCTTAACCCCGGAGAGGAGGTGGTTTACAGATAACGGAGGCTCCAGCCACTGGTCTTGCTGGGAGTAAAAGCTTCAGACCCCATGAGCCCACTGCCTCCCTCCCGCTCCTTACACCCAAGTGTTCCTGTTCCCACGTTTTCTGTCTGCTTCTTAGAGTCCTTAGCAGAGTACCTGGGGAACCATGGTGTTAAACAGGCTGGCCCACAGGCCCTGCAGAGAGGAGCCCAGCTGGACCCGCTGGGAGGCATTGGCCTGGACGGTGCCTCCCGGTGTCCCAAGGACCCGCAGGGGAGCGGGCCCCCCGACCCCGGCCCGGGCCCAGCAACCAGAAGCAAACAGGGTCAGAGTTCCTGTCCTGCCACAGACAGGAAATGACTCTTCGGCAAAGCATTATGGCTTTCAGGACATGAAGAAGAGAGAGATTTTACATACGTCTACATCGATGCTTTATCCCCCTCGCATTTGTCCCCAGAGGGTATGTGGCAGCTTGTGGGGACACCTACGGTGCCTCCAGCTAAAAGAAACTAGAAACTAAGAACAAGTAAGTCAGGAGAATGGGGACAGGAGCCCTGAGTGTTCATGTGTGCGCACGCGCACACACACACACACACACACACACGCACACGAACCGTAGCCTTCACCTGGTGTCAACCCACGCCTCGCGCCTTTCTGGGTTCTGGTATAGCGCGGATGAAAGCTCATGGCCGTGACCGAGAGCGCGTGGCCAGCCCTGATGAGCAGAGCCCACTGAGGGGGCCCCCGGAGCGAATGTCGTTCGTCTCTTCATGCAGACAGTAGCCCCAGAGAACTGAAGGGACATAGGTCCCCTGCCCCGGGGGAGCGCTCAGCTGGGAGATTATGACTCAGCAGCATTCCAAACACAAGTAAAGATTAAATATCTCCAGAAGCCTTTGATTGCTCTTCCCTCCCACACAATGCTCCTGTTGAGGAGCCAAGATCATCTAAGTGGGCCAGGCCCCTCTAATAAATAATTGTCTATCTTGCAGGCCACCTCACAGTTCACCCAGATCATAAAGTTTACCTACTACTCAGCACCAATATTCCCGCAGCAGTTTACTCTCCCAGGTCATAAGTCACTGCCATCCCGAATCTCCTGTCCCGGTGTTTTTCCTGCCCTGCCCTAATCTTGCCTCATTGCCTCCTGAACGATCACCATTTCCTGGGGCTCCGGCTCCCCGCTGCTCAAACTGCTGAGCTCACCATTTGGGGGGCCTGGAGGCCTCACTGACCCCCCACCTCTGCCTCCCACGGTGTCCCTCCCGCAGGGCCTTGATGCCATCACCCCTGTGGGAGTCAGGGACAGTGGCCAGCATCCTCAGTCAACACCACCCCCTGCCACAGCAGCCCCAGCATGGTTTGGGCTCAGCCAAGCCAAGGAGTGGCTCTTTGGCACTCTCCAGTCCCAGAGAAGGAGCCAGAAGGAGCCCTTGTCTGAGGCTGCTCTTCTCCCCAGCAACAACGCTACCATGGCCATACAAAGGTCGTGTCCCAGGGCAAAGAGGAGGCTGACTTTGAAGGTGCATTAGTCAGCGTTGTCCAGAGAAAGAGAACCAACAGGATGGGGGTGGGGGGGGGGGGTGGGCAGGAGGGGGTTATTTTAAGGATTTGGCTCATATGACTGTAGAAGCTTGGCCAGTCCAAACTCCCCAGGGTAGGCTAGCAGGCGAGAGACCCAGGGAAGAGTTGCAGTTGGAGTCCAAAGGCAGTCTGCTGGCACCATTCCTTCCTGCTCAGAGGAGATCAGCATCTATTCGTGCCTTCAACTGATTGGATGAGGCCCACCCACACCGTGGAGGGCAATCAACTTTGCTCAAAATCCACCTATTTAAATGTGAATCTCATCCAAAAAACACCTGCACAGAAATATCCAGAATCACGTTTGACCCAATATTTAGGCACCATGGCCCAGCAAAGTTGATCCATAAAATGAACGCACACATAAGAGTTTTCAGACACATTGCCTAATTGGTCTCCCAAAGGACGGGGCCCTTTTCTGGCTGCTCTGGGGTCGGAAGATTATAGATTCCTAGCCTTGAGACCCAGACCTTTTCGCCCTTCACTTTCTTGCCAACTCGCCTCAGCATCCCCCATCCCCGCAACCTGACAGTTGGCTGCCCGTTGGCTATAAGGCCGCACACAGTGAAGCTGGCCAGCCATCCTGGGCCTGCCCAGCGAGCTCCTTCACATCTGGCCTCCCTGCCCCATGACCATGTGATGGACACCCCCAGGTAACCCAAGGCTGCCACCCACTGCCAGGAACAGCTGCCAGTGCTCACTGAATAGTCTGTACCAGTTTCTCTTAGTTGTTCCTTCTGAAAATGTATTAGGGCTACATTTTAACCAACTGAGCCACCCAGGCGCCCCCAGAGGGCTGCATTTTAAAATGGTCAAGATGGTAACTTTTTTTCTCTTGGAATTACTTTTACTTATTTTTTATTTTTTTATTTAAATTCAATTAATTAACATATAGTATATTATTAATTTCAGAGGTAGAGTTCAGTAATTCATCAGTTGCATATAACACCCAGTGCTCATTACATCACGTGCCCTCCTTAGTGCCCATCCCCCAGTTACCCCATCCCCCAC